TCATTCACTGGACAAGACTACACATACAGTACACATATATACTGATATATGTTATCCTACCGCATATTCTGCTTTATTCCAAACCCATTTTTCATATTTATTCTTATACGAGTGGGCATATGACATGAAGATGACGGCATTGCATATAATTACCAAGGTAAGGTTTAAAATAATAAAAATACTGATTAGTACTGCAAAATTGACATTATGAAAGAGGAAGCGTTGGACAATTATTTTCACGTGCTAATAATTATTTCGTGAAATGAAAATAATTAGAGATTAAATTTTATGTACTTATTTTGTGTATGGTCTTTTTGTTGTCTTTTTTATTGATTGATGCGTGTTAAGTTTATAACAACAAAGTTAAGATGTATTAAATTTATTAACTTGTGTCAATCAATAATAACGGCCACGTAAAGAGACCACACACAAAATGAATGCAGATTTCTTCCAATGCCTAACTAGCAACTCGTGTGTTAGTGGGAAATGAAAAACACATCAAATCTGGTTTTGGATGAAGTCTTCATGTAAGGATGACAGTGGGAATTTGTAAGCGGATGAATGTGAAATAGGGAGTGTCTTGTTAAATGGGTAATCCACTCAAATTCGAATTAATCATTTAATGTAATTGTGTCAGAAACCCTAAACGGGAACAGAAAAATTAGTAAACAATTAACATAATCTGATTAGGGTTTGAGGGTTATCTAGATTGCCAACCTCAGCATTGACCCCAACCAGCATGGCCTTTACATTCACCCACTCCAATTCTTTATGAAAAGGATTAATATAATATAATATGATATATATATATATATATATATATATTATACACACACACACACTCTTTTTGTATGAATGCAGGTGTTCATAAAATTTCCTTTTTGAACGCCCCTTACAATATCAAAAATTTGCTTTCTTGGATTACTATTTTATTATTTAAATAGTCACGTAATGACAGAAGATTGACACGTATTATTGAAATCAAACAGATGTGAGGGAACATAAACCCTAACCTCGGTTACAATCATCAATTAAAAGAGCGTTTTGAATTAATCGGGCCACATCTCACAAAGAAGGACTCTTCTTATAGTGCAATTAATATATGTTATTGTTTGGACCTAAATTTACGCTATCGGCCCATACAATCAAGGCCGTTAGATGAGTAAAGTTCTAGACCGTTGGATTATAAAGTGGTTGAGATAATTTTTAAATTATTATTAAGGAATAATATTGTGGTTGTAATCATAATATTATCTCTTAATATATATTAGATTATCTAAGCCTAATATTGGCTATATCCAGTGGATCGTTTATACGGGATAAATAGGATACAAATTATATCTCCAAATTATATCTCCAACTTGGAAGCGCGTATGCAATTCAATTTGATTGGGGATTCTTGGCATTTAGACGTATGCTTGGAGTCGGTTAGCCATGCGTGAAGGTTATCTTTTGGTTAATGGTGATATTTGATGATCACAAAAAGATAATGGGCCCATGTTTTTCGGCTCCTCGGCATAGAAAGATAAGGGGCAAGCACGGCATAGAAAGGGTTTCATGTACATTGCATGGTTATCAAGAGTTTTTATTTGAATGAAGTACTTATCTCCGAGAGATTCAAATTGTGGCCAGCTACAGATGTTCCACGAGAAACACATATAGAGCCACGTACTCGTCCTTATAAATACAAGACATTGTGCAACATTAGGGAGACCTCCAATTCAACACACAACTGCCCTGCGCAAAACCTCTCAAACATCTTGAGATTTTTTTTATTTTCTTTTTTCCGCCGACACATCTTCAGTTTGGATAAACAGCACTGTGAAGGCAACCGGCGAACATCTTCAGTTTGGATAAACAGCACTGTTGCCGTAGAATTAGCCGTTCCCGAAGCACCTTCAGTTTGGATAAACAGCACTGCGTCGAGGTCGACTGGTTATCTATCCAAGTCTCGGTCGAGAAGGATTTTCAAATCCTTATTGGCAGAGGTCATCTCATTAGCCTTCTCGGCGAAGTGAGGTGTTACCAGGTTACTACATTCGGCACCTTGAGAGCCGAATTTGATATTGAACTTCGTAGAACTAGCAGCCTTGTCTTCAGGCTCGAGAATCCAAAGGCCGAGATTTGTTCCTTCCTCGGCCGCAGTCGCAAGATAAAGAAGTCAACAACGCGCTCAACGCAACATCAACAAATTTTACTCCTCGGCCGAGCTCGGCCGACGAGTTGGCACGCCCCGCATTCAAACGAAGGACGTAGTTAGCTTATTAGTTACTCGACCTGCGCGCCACGTAGGCTTTGTAATTTTTAGGATCAACAGTTATTCATACTTCTTTTTACCTTTCAAGTTTCTACACACTCTTATTAATTTTTATCCGTTAATTTTTTTTAATTCATTCAATCTAACATCCGAATTTAAGAAGTATATGTAAGAAGTAAAACTAGAAGTTGATAGCACCGACCTTATTAGGTCTGTTTGGGTTTAGGTGATCAACTTTTTGATTTATTTTTCAACTTGGAATATTTTATATTATGTGTATTTGTTAGACTTGGAAAATAATATATAGCTAGGAATACAAGAAACGTCTTGTCATGCTTCAACAGCACTTAACAATCCTATCAGTCCCGCATTGGCCATGAAATTAGAGTTGCATGCTAGCACCAGTAAGATAATATTCTTCCCTATCAAAAAATAAGAAGATAATAATCTTCAATAATTGCGATATAATTGTCCAGCGAGACGGAATTAAGTGACGACTTTTCAGCTCGAAGGGACAAAGTCAGAGTCGAAGTTAGTTTCTGGAGCAAAAGATTAATTGAGCCTTGAAATAATAGCTTCTGTAATAATCTGAAAGCGCTCTTAGTTCATCCAAAAGCACAGCACTGCAACAAGAAGAACGAAAGGTTATGGATACAGGACGGTTCAAAACTCAAATTTCTAACCACGAACACTTAACAAATGGAGGCACAATATGAAACAAAGCCATAGGCCGGAGGGGGGCTAATTACACTTCCAACGCCGAAAACTACAGCAACTTATATCTACATTCTGTAAAACTGAAAAACACAGACCTACGTAACGAAACAACAGACAGACCATTCGATTATTCATCACCCCTCTTTACCCTAAAATCCGAACAAAGGGCGGTACCTTTATCCTCCGAACAAGGTACATCCAGCCCACTTGAACCCACTTCCTGTATACTAAAACTGTCGCGACTGCTAGAATTATCTAAAACACTTGCCATATTCGATATCCCAAGCAGTGAAATTAACCAGACCCATGGCTGCGATGCTGTTTGCAATCACGTCAACGTCCCTGGTTCCACTGTAGAGACCCCGGCTCCCAGCAACAATCACGTTTCGGTTCTCATGTGCATTTGATAGCATAGCAGGCAATACATCTATCAGCTGTGGGCTATTCTGGGTCGAACCACTGATTAGAAGTCGTCGCAGTGTCTCTCTGGCACCTTTCTCCAGCATATAGAATCAGTCTCAGGAATGTTCGTAAGTTTTGAGTGCAGGGAAGATATTGCAGTTGAAATAGCGGGACCAGCGCTGACGAAGTATCCTTGACCCGACGAGCATATATCGATGACTGGAATGTGAACAATTTGGTCGCACATCAAGGTGTGAAAGTTGGGATATGCTGAGAAGTTGGCCTTGGTAGCCTAACCAGTGGGTCTGGGAGAAATGCACGGAAATCAGGCAAGGGGGAATCAGCCAAATTAAGAGATGGTTTTGTTGACAACATGCTCGAGGGCACATTGGGCGGTAATAAAACGAAAGTGGTGGAAGCAACGCTGATTCCGTCGATGACTACGATTACCTTGTACTATTGCTAGTTTTTTAAGTGATTTCAATCCTATTTGCGCATGTAGTACTAAACCCTAGACATTTTAGTCCTCCCATGACGAAAAATTGTCACACAATATTTCTTCTTTTTCGGCTACAAATTTACACACAATGTCATGTTGGAAAAATGATATGCAACATAAAAGTCGAAAGTTGCCCTAGCTAACTCCCAAAAATGGCCAACTTATTTGGTTGAAATATATTGTCGACGAGAGAAACGAATGAGTCGTTGTCCTCCTCATCAAGTTGGGGATTTAGAAATCGACATGACTATGTAACAAGTCGTCCTCCTCCTCCTCATCATTACCATAGCAAATTCCAGTAAATGAACCCCAAAATTAACTTCTTCAAGAAACTAGGAGATGCCATTAAGATTTATAATGCCGATTGTAAGAAGACGCAAAATAGGGTTACAGGTTATCCGAATCAGTACTCTTCGTCCTTTTTACGCTTTCGTATGTAGACGAAGACGGTGGACACTTTGTTGTAAGAAATGAAACAAGGGTGTGCATAAAAAAAAAATTAAAATAAAAAAAGCAGAAAGTACACGAAAATCATTTTTCCTTTATTTTTCTACGGAAACCATCATAGAGGGTACAACTGCTTAAGTTATTGTTTCCAACTTCACCATTTTATTTCACTTAATGATGAAGTAAGGCCGCGAACCTATCTAAGTATGACATTTTATCACGAAACCCTCCGTGTAATTTGGAGAGACCTACCACTTTTTTTTTTTATTACAAACGATAAATTTGTTAAATTAGGAAGTTAGCAAAGTTCGACCCACGCGTGACGCAAGAGTAACACTCATCTTCACCGTTGTGGTATAAGACCGCTTGCAGATAGAGCTATCACTTATTATACTCCTTTTATGAGAAATTAATTCCTAATAATTTTTTTTAGAGGCTGCTTTCATGTGCGGCGGGCTGTGCTGTCTTGATCAATGGACAACCCGCTCAAATTCTGATTAATCATTTGACTAATGTAATTGTGTCAGAAACCCTAAACGGGAGCACAAGAACTAGTAAACAATTAAGATAATCTGATTAGGGTATGAGGGAAATCTGTTCTCGGTCCAGCAAGTGAGTAGTATGTAAGTTTCAAATACGATTCCTACTTCAAAGCAAAAGCATTCAAGACACTCCTGATGATGTATGGATGTGAAATAAATCTTCCAACGAATAGAAAATTTACAAGCAAATGCATAAATTCCTCACCGTTTCCCACCTATACTAAAAATTCACACAGAAAACTTATTGTACATAGACACACTCGCACATGCGCATATGCATGCACACGAAAGGGCAAATCAAAAAGTAGACAAAATGGTTTTGAAATCCTACCTCCAGAATTTCCAGGTTGGGGCACCCTTGGATTAATGTGCAATGGTCCTCGGTGTCCAGATAAGCATGAAGGAGATCGAGCTTCTTGAGAAGGGTTGCAAATGGGAACACTATTGGTATGTCATCCTTTCCCATGTACGTTAGACCCAGACGGCAAAGTTTTTGGGGTAAAGTTACAACAGAGTAACTCTCGGATTGCTCATTGAAGAAACCCCCTGAAAATTCTTCCAAGATAGCTGCATGACGGAAGAAGCCAACTAGTTCCAAGATTTCGAGATCACTAATTTTCACAGAGGTTAAGGGGCAGCAGTTTTTGGCTATGAGTTCAAGGTCTTCGAATTGGACTTTGATAAGATCCGTCATATAAAAATTCAGAGTTTCCAGAAGTGTTGTTCTCAGCAAGCTCGTGTAGCCAGTTGCCATCATACTCAACTATAAAGCTCTCTTCCAAAAACAAGGTCCTCAAATTCCTATAAAAGCATATAATTATAAAAAAAAAAACAACATCAATAATGTATCTCCAGATGACAGTTACAGGAAAAATAGTTAGTTGAGAATGATTGCAAAAGCTGCATTAATATGTCTACAAGAACAAGGATTCATGTGGATGAGTGCATTAACACGAATGCCTTCCAAGAAAGTTCCAAAATGCAGCATGCAAATTTCTCTTCCTTGTCCATAACCATGATAGAAATATTTTGGTACTACAGGTGGAAGAAACAGGGGAGTCGAGGAGGACCCCAAATGTGAAACCTCGAGAGTAAAAGACCATCACTCCCGAGGCTTCAGTTAAGTTGGGGTCAGTCTTAAACGACAAGCGACGTATATGGGCTCCTGCAGAACCATTTCTTATGCAACTTCAAAAGTTTGGGGATCACAAAAGTGCGAAGAACTGCCTGAAACTATGCTTTCGCCGAGCAAATTACAACCGAAGCAACATGCTGAATTGTGTGAGACATAATGAAAGAACGAATGACCCATAAGCAATCCCTGCAACTAAAGTTTTTAATCAGCGATGTAATCCATACTGCCGCAGTCAGGCTATAAAAGTCCCTCGTCCAAACACAGCATTATTCCGATTAATTCGATACTCGAAAGAAAAAGAGTAATAAAACTATGCAGCATGAAAGATTATAACTTTGTCCCTCAATTTTTACAAAATAATGAATGCATCCAACGTTTCTGATTGAACCCGCAACAAAATTCACCGCAAGTAAGAAACTTACAAATAAAGTTGTGAACTTTACTACCTGCAGGAGCGGCCGATGTGCCAAAGCCCATTGGTGGTGAACCATGAGCACTTGTCGAGCTTAAGCACCTGGAGCACGTGCCCACGTGACTGAGCCAGGAGCTGAAGGTCCAAATCCCTAACAATCATCCGCCGAAAGTGCACACACTTCAAGTGGTGGAAGGAGTTGGCGATCTCCGTCACCCACGGCGTTACAAACCCTCCCTAGCTCTCCGGAATCAGATTAAACATCGCCGCGCTCGGCCTCCCCTACAGCTTCAGCGACTCCAGGTGCTGAAACCGCTGCCGTAGCCGATCAGGGCTCGTGGTGTAGCAGAGCGCGATGGTTTGTTGTTGCTTTCATAACTTACCTGCTTACAACATCAAATGAATTACGTACCCATGAAAAGAGAATATGCACAATATATATACATATATATGTGTGTGTGTATGTATGTATGTATACTTTTTGCATGAATGCCGGCGCTGATGAAAATTTCCCTTTGGAACGCCACTTACACTATCACAAACTTGCATTCTTGTATTACTATTTCATTACTTAGATTCACGTAATTATGTGCTTGTGACACTCAAGAATGTATTTCTTTGTATCATATAACGCATCATTATTCTATTAAAAGATGCATTGCTGTAAAGTCATATTACTTTTTTAACTTAATATTTTCGTCTTGTTACCATTACCCTATGCAAAAACTCTTAATCCCAAGTGATTTTTGTTTCCTCGTAAAAAACTCCCGTCCTTGGTTACAACCATCAATCCATCAACTAAGAGAGCGCGTTTTGAATTAAATCAGGCCACAGCTCAAGAAATCAGATAATATTGTTCAATAATTTGCGAAATAATTGTCCCGTAAGACGGAATCAGGAAATTAAGTGACGACTTTATATCTCGAAGAGGCAAAGCCAGACTCGAAGTCAGTTTCTGGAGCAAACGAACCATTGAGCCTTGAAATAACAGCTTCTGTAATGATCTGAATGCGCTCTTATTTCTTCCAAAAGCACAGCAAGAACATCGTAACAAGAAGAATGAAAGGTTATCGGCACAGGACGGTTCAAAATTCAAATTTCATTCATTCAAATTTCTAATCATGAACACCTAACAATGGAGGCACAATATGAAACAAAGCCATAGGCCGGAGGGGGGCTAATTACACTTCCAACGCCCAAAACTACAGCAACCTATATCTACTTTCTGTTAAACTGAAAAACACTGACCTACATAACGAAACGACGGACAGACACCATTCGATTATTCATCACCCCTCTTTACCCTATAATCCGAACAAAAGGCGGTACCTTTATCTTCCGAACAAGGTCCATCCAGCCCACTTGATCCCTCTTCCTGCATATTAAAACTGTCGCGACTGCTAGAATTATCCAAAACACTTGCCATATTCGATATCCCAGGCAGTGAAACCAGACCCATGGCTGCAATGCTCTTTGCAATCACGTCAACGTCCCTGGTTCCACTGTAGAGACCCCGGCTCCCAGCAACAAGCATGTTTCGATTCTCATGCGCATTTGATAGCATAGCAGGCAATACATCTATCAGCTGTGAGCTATTCTGGGTCGAACCACTGATTAGAAGTCGCAGTGTCTCTCTGGCACCTTTCTCCAGCATAGAATCAGTTTCAGGAATGTTCGCAAGCTTTGAGTGCAGGGGAGATATTGTTGTTGAAATAGTGGGACCAGCGCTGACCAAGTATCCTTGACCCGACGAGCAAATATCGATGACTGGAATGTGAACAATTGGGTCGCACATCAAGGGTGTGAAAGTTGGGATCTGCTGAGAAGTTGGCCTTGCTAGCCTAACCAGTGGGTCTGGGAAAAATGCAGGGAAATCAAGCAAGGGGGAATCGGCCAAATTAAGATGTGGTTTTGTTGACAACATGCTCGAGGGCATATTGGGCGGCAACAAAGATGAAAGTGGTGGAAGCAAAGCTGATTCCGTCAATGAGTGGGGGAGTTCAGGATGTTCTGGTGAGTACTGCAAATCCGATGAACCTGGAGGGCACCAACAATAGTAAGGAGATAACAGAGGGGTAACCATGTAAGGAACTTGTGATGCAGGGTTCAGGGTCGGTGGACGAGCCAATTTCCCTAGCGACTCTAGGAAACTTGAAGATGACAACGAGCAACTTCTAATAGTTTCTGGACAACTGTCAGTTTCAGCATGATTTGAACAAGATGAATCGATTGTGATTGGTGAAGCAGTTGTTGGGTTGTCAATGGCTGAAACTAAGATGTCGCCTCGCCTCCTTAACTTCTCCCTGGTAATATTCCTCAGAGAAGACAAGGTTCTGGGCAGATCTTTGAAGGAACTTGACCTTGGGCTCAGGCGACCCTGAAATGATGAATTTGCCTTCATGGACTGATTGACACCATGTCGGGAACGCAGGGATTTTGATGATGTGGATGAGAATTGTCCATCTTGAGCTGTATCAGATGGTTCTGTGGTGGTATCCAAATCAGAAGGTGAGCCTGCAGAACTTGACACACTGCCACCTACTGTTGAGCCCACCAGATAGGAACGTAGGTGAGTTGCAAAGCAACCAAGGCGAGGTTCACTGATTCCAGTTAACTCGGCTATGGAGGGCTTCCTCTTGAGCAGATCCTTCATCTGTTACAGGGGTGAAAAATCAATTAGCAACCACATTACCAGACGAATACGCAAACAATTTACATTGAGTTAAAACTACTGTTGGAACCAAATATATCAATCAATCAATCTTACGTAATTTCTATACTTTAGCATACCTTTGAAAGCAATTCAATTCCCAAAAGTCGTGATGTCTCAGAGCACCAAAAGTATAAAATCTGGCCATCTGGGATTTTAATAAGGAAAGACCGGCCAGAATTGTCTGCTGGAATTTCATTGATTTCTACAGCAAAGCACTGGGATTTGTTATGTAAGGTGCACAGTCTATCTATACGACCATCATCCCCAACGAATGAAAGGCGTAAATTTGAAGTTGGCAAAACAGTAAGATTTAAATTGCCCCTGAGACAACATAAAAAGTTAACGAAAGCTTAGAAACAGAGTGTGTATATATATAAACAATAAATAAATAAACACAACTCCTCAACCGGAAACTACATTAGCCAGACAGTTGTGCTTTGCTAGTTTCAAAGGAGAGGAAGAAAGCTAAGCATGTGAACACTAAGATTGAATAGGCACATCACTCAATATTAATCTAATTGTACTTACTCAACTAATAAAATTATTTCGTTTTTTCCTTTTGTGTTATCATCGACAAGAATCCAAAACAATTTGAAGGCCTCACAGAAAATGGCATCTGTTTTCCATTCTAAGAAAGCAAATCACCAAGCAGGATCACGAAAAACATTTGCCTTGAAAGTTAAAATATGAAGCCCTTTAAAATAGCCATCACAAAAACTATTATTTAGAGATGTATCAACGTCAATTTTGTATCTTGAAGCTAAAAAATCCAAAAACCCGATGACTAAAGAGCTTCATATCCAAAAGTTGAGCTTGCCAATGGCCAGCATAAATCTACGGTACACACCCAATGCAAAAAGGTATATCTTCCTGTTTTCCACTGATAAATGGGTTATGAGATAATTGTACTTCTATCAACCAAAAGCATTTCACATAAATGTCTGTCTGTAAAATGTAAATATACAAATAAACAGAAAAAATGCAAGTAACACGCTTCTATACACCATGACTGGAAGAAAGTAAAACATAAAGTAGTACGTTAATGTCCAATTCAGTTACGACTAGCTCGATGTTAATACAGAAACATATGCTTGCAGAACCAAACAAACTTCTGGAAGACGGTAGGCAGAAATGACATAACTCTGAAACACAACAACCAGTCACGCTCAATTTTGATTTCCATCAAAATGTCAATCATTTATAGTTAGAAGGCAGCAGCAAACTATATAATATATAGGATCATGAAACTACCTTTACTTCCTCTTATTTCAGAGATCATATTAGAATACTCCCACATTACCTACAAGTCAAAAGACATATTTACTTGGAAGATGAACACATTGTCACTATTAATAAGCTAAAATATACTCCACTATATCTACGAAAACATTAGTTACTAAAGATACACTCCTCACAATGTAAGATTTGTTCACAAACTCAATACTATTATCAAAATTCCTTCAACTCAACTTTTGTTATTTTGTAAACACTAACGTCTTTACACCCGCAAGTTAAAGTTAACGATACGTGCCAATGATATTAAATGGTAAAAGTAAATAAGAACAACAAACAATATCAGAATAGTCATAAATTGATTTATGAACAAAAGACTAATAGGTAATGATAAACAAATGCAGAACAAAGAACATTCAATGGAAAGTATATGCTTCATTTGAAATCATTCTGCTTAAACATTGTGAACAGATGTCCCTTTCTTCACATAAACTGATTTAACAAGTACATCATTAAAACTAACCTCCAGAACGTCTCTCCAAGTCTGACTGCAAAAACCACCATGCAGTACAAAGTGACATCCAGATGTAGTACTTTTTACAACAAATAGAAATCCGCAAGTCAAACATGGTTAAAATGATGGTATTTCCCATGGCTACCACAATATGCGAGTGAGACTACCCTCTAAATCCACGATCAGGAATTCATGACTCCAAAAATTTTGTCACACTTAATTATATGCTAACTTTGGTGATCCAAAATATCTACCATCTTGACTCTATTTTATGATTTTTTGGCATGAACATGATAAATGACACATTAAGCTTTTGAAGATTATGATGTTTTCTTAAGGAAGAAACCAAAACATAAAGGACATTTGACCTAAGAATGTCTTCTCGCATTCAAACTTGTAATTGAACATTCAGTCTATATAGGTGAAACCCCATTGTTCATTGTTCCGGATCCCATTTCCATTCAGTGATCCATAAAAATCTGTATGTTAGGTAAAGTAACTAAAGTATGTCCCAACTGATATGAGAGAGACAGAGAGCTTTCCAATCAATTTCACGGATAAAATTATAACTAACAAATATACACAGCAAAGAGTTGCTCCACTGAGTTTAATAATTATCTGAAACAATATTCAAAACTATCTTAAGTGAACTTTCCTAAATCATTCTCTAAACATGACCAATCAAAATGCATGCATACAAAGAACCACAGAGACTATTACTCTCTTAAGTTGTAATCAACATGAAAAATGCAGTCCAGTCTCCCACACGCTACACGAATGGATAAAAATCAAACATGCACAAGCACACAACTAATACTTCTATGCATAGGGGCCTGGAAATTAATATTGTACAAATATGAACTTACACGCATAAATTAAATGTTTGATTAACTGCGAAACATCAGACATTACTACCATCAGGAATATTTTAACCCAGCTGCCTGCATGAACTGTTAGAAGCATGACTGTATAATGCAAGCAACAAAATATAACTGGTCTAACACGTATTTGAATCATCGTATATGCATCCAATGCAGGGACGTGAGACCAAAGATTCTAGCATAAGACCAAATAAAAACGTAATACTGGCAAATCATAATATCACGCATAGACTGGTAGTTGATAGTTTCAAATCAAAAATAGCTTTTCCCCCAATATTAAATAAAGTATCAAGTGGAAGAGACCAGACTCGAAATATGATTCTGGGTTAACCCCATTTCAATCATACGTCAGCAAAATAATGAATAAAGGTACATTTTTCTGAACTTATGTGTACATGTACATGATATACACCACTGCAACATCATCATACGAGAACGAATTGCCAGACATGAAATTTTTCAGTCAAATGAATGGGGGAAAGCGAAAAAAGAAACACAGCAATTAAATCGAAAGTCGATGATTTCCAGCAAAGGTATCTAAATGCACAGACAATCAGTTCCTGTTCAACTATATAAACAAGCCAAAAAAAACTGAAATAATCAATTACGAACAACATTTCACACAAACAAGCACACGAAACAAGAGCACCAAGGGATGTTTACCTTGCAGCAGTGGGGCACAAGAGAGTCCCTTGCTTGTTGATCTTCCCCACACGAATAGAAACGAGAGGTATACAGAAGCACCTCGCTAGCATTCCAACTTCCGCTGGCCCGAAGTGCTATTCATCAAACACAAACTGTGAGATCATCAATTTGCAAAACCAGAAAACAATAATCCATAACCCCAAAATTGTTCCAACATTTCGACAGATTTTCACCAGCAAATTCACCCAATTCACCAAAAACCAATGAATGGCAAAACAGAGCTTCAATTCAATCAAGTTTGATCATTTCTATCATACCTGGCTCAATTGAGCTAACAATCGATCCTCTGCGACGTCATTCGAGGCATTCATCTTCAACAGTGGCTTCAACCTCTCGTCGGCGCGACACGCCCCCATAACCTGCATATCAAGCGCTTCTAGCCACTGCAAAACGCGGTCCTCCCGATTGCTCTGCTGGAGCAACAGATCTCCATCTCCTTCGTCAACAAGTATCCCCGTCAACCGCTCCTCGAGCCCAGTCTCGCTCCTCGACGCCGGTCCAGCGGCGGAGCTCCCCACACCGTTCGTGGCGGACGAGTTCTCCAATTCGCCACCGTTCGATTGATCCCCAACGCAATCGATCTCGTCGTTCGTGTGTAAATCTCGGTCTCCACGGTTAGTCATCGCAAATAATTGGGGAAATTTCCCAGAAATCTCAAATCGCCTTGATAGATTTGAAACCCTAATCGAATTCAATTCTTTTTGTTAAATTTAATTTAATTTTTTAATTTTGGTTTCCAAATCTGAATCGGAAGCCCCGAGCCGATTGAGATTGAATCCGGAAAGGAAGATTGAATTGCCGGTTGCGTGGGTGAAGGGGGAGAGAGAGAGAGAGAGAGAGAGAGAGAGAGAGAGAGAAAGAGAGATAGGAGGTTTTTTAAGAGAGAGAAGACAATAACTCTGCTGCAAGAATGGAAGGACAAGCAGGGAATAGGATCGGTTTTTATAAAGAGAAGGCAAAAAGTAATACGTGGAGGAGATGATGGAAGGGAATGGAAATAGGGGGTTAAAAAATCATCCTCCTTTTATCAATTGAGGCATTGTCTGCCCTTTTATTTGGATGTCCTTCTCATCCCTTTCTATTTGTATGGTCACGATTAAGTTACGTTAATATTTTATATTACTATTTTTTTAAGTCTTATTATCTTTATAAAAAAAAAATAAATATAAAATATTAACGTGACTTAACCGTGATCGCACAAAATAAGAAGATATGAGCAAGACATCCAAACAGAAGGCAGACAATCTACCTCCCTTATAAATACAGGTGGAACTTGGAAGGGGGTTGGACGGTAACATGGCTGCCTCCTTTATTATAAATACACGTGGAATTTAGAAGGGGATCAAGATCTTCTCCTAATTTAAGGATAAGGATCCTCATGATCAAAAGATGTAGGCCGTTGAATGAAAATCCAACGGTTATAATTATTATAATTTAAAAAAAAATCTTTTATTTGTAACCGTTAAATTTTCATCCAACAATCCACATCCTTTGATTATGAGGATCTTCATCCTTAGATTAGCAAAGATTTTGGTCCCCTAGAAGGGGGTTGGACGATAACATAAGGCGGACTTGAAAGCCGTCTATCAAATTCGGTTTTGTGTCCGATTTTCAGATCTGTGCGTGATTGCATAGGCACCACGTCAGCTTATCAACCTCATGTAGGACCCGAGTGTTCATTGGGAGTAGGGAGAGGAGCCCACTCTGACACGACAGTCGTTTAGCAGATCGTGGTCATTTGATTCAGCAACTGAAAGCGAGTGAGCTCCGGCAGCGTCGGATAAGAGGGTGGCTGTTAGCGTGCGCGTTGGATGCGACGGTTTGAGGAACAACAAAACAATATTATTTTATATGGTTTTGGTTTTTTCTTCTTATTCCTTTCTTTTTAATTTATCATAAGAAAATTATATTCGATCAATGCTTACTAGTGATTTAGAGAATTTTCAATAAAAATGTCAAAAGATAAATTTTAAATGTTAATTTAATAGCTAACATGATAATATGAAATTTTTTTAGTCCTCCAACTCATATATCTTTTTGTTATAATTTATGAATGATATTTCTACTAGTATTTCAGTTCGCTTGTAATTCATTAGTCTTATGTTCGATTCTTATCAAAGGTGAATTTGAACCACATTATTGCTAGCTCATTGTGAGAAAAAGATTTAACTCACTCCCTCACCTCTTAGTGTAGATAATATAGTTTGTTAAAAAAAATTATGAATGATACTTGTATGACTCATTTTTATGAAGAATGCAACTAAAGTAAATTTTTAAGATTTATAATTGATGCATTAATGTGCCCTACACAATAAAATAATTAAAAAAATTGATGGCACCCATTTTCAAAGGTCAAAATTGACAACAAATGTTAAAGTAACTCTCTTAAAAGTATGACTCTCCACGGACTCTCTTATACCTCATGTTACCACAATGTGTTATAATATTGACATGAAAATTAACCTTAAACTGTGAGGTGATAGAGTTCGGAAGGTCCCACTTTGAGAGAGAGAGTCTCCTTAGAATTTCTCAAAAATTTATGGGGTGTGTTAATCACATACCATTTTTTACTTCTCACACACCCTATTAATTTCGGGCGTCAAATCAAATAAATTAAAAAAGATCAAATGACATAGATTAATAAGAACTGTGTAAGAAGTAAAAATGGACGTGTGGATGCACACCCCAAATCTGTACGTCAATTCACGTAAGATTGACATACCGGTCAGAGCTTCTTCCTACCTTCATATTTGATTGCGCAACATTCTACTTAAGATGTCACATTTCCTTTAAAAATGATCTTAGATGCATTGGCAACCAACTTTTATTCTAATAATATTTCTAAGTGAGAGGTCTTAGTTCAATTCTCGCTAAAGGCGAATTTGAACCACATTATTGTTAGCTTATTGTAGAACTTAGTCCACCCCCCTCACTTAAGTGTAAAATATCATTTGTTAAAAAAACATCACAATGAAATACGACTTTAAACACGAATAACATTTTAACAATTGGAGTTTAATCAATCAATGAACATTTTTCTTTTTTTTAACGAAAGTGAGTATCAATACCGCATTAATTGTGTCAACTAAGAACATCGTCAATCTCGTTCTCTGTCCACCTTTTACGATACAGATTCTCCAAAGAGTTCTTAAATCTAGGGAGCAAGAAAAGAGTTAAAATCGCTAGCCGTTGGTTTTAGTAGTACTCGTCTCTAACTTCTATGAATAACAACGGTGAGATAGAAGTTTAAAATGATTTCGGTTCCAAAGTTACTCGTGAGAAAATCTAAAATTGTTAAGGAGCTACATCTGTAATCATGTGACAGCTAAGCCAAAGCTCTTTCCGTTCCAACTGGCGTCTCCACCAACGACGATATGAAGTAGCTTCCTATCACTTCCTCTTCTTTGGTTCTCTCTGGTATTCATTTATCAGTGCTTCGACATCTTTCCAGAAGAGGCCCTCCACCAAAACTCCGTCCTTGGTGAACCTGAAATGTTACCAAATTTGAAAAAAATACTGATTATGGTGTATGTTCATCTCTATATGCACGAGTATGGTCTTCAGAAGTGCATGTTCAAGTCTTGGTCTGTATGTGTGCATGTGGCGTTTGTGTGTGTGTGTGTGTGTGTGAGAGAGAGAGAGAGAGAGAGAGAGAGAGAGAGCGAGAGAGAGACCACTGAGTAACACTCTTGGTGAACTGCACTGGTTGATTTGCATGTGTGTGTGTGTGTGTGTGTGTGTGTGAGAGAGAGAGAGAGAGAGAGAGAGAGAGAGAGCGAGAGAGAGACCACTGAGTAACACTCTTGGTGAACTGCACTGGTTGATTTGCAGAAATCGATTTGGGGTCTGAACTTGCTATCACAAGAGTGTACATATCAGAGAATCTTGGCAATTTGGAAGAGACCACCAATCCAGTGCTTGTGAACGAATCCTGCGTGAATAATTTGCATCTGAATGAATCTTACAAACTTTCACCAAGGCAAACGTTTAGCTACACACTAGACATTAATTGATGATTCTAACTCATAAAATTGTAGGAACAATCATATATTAATATACATATTACACTTCAGTGTAAGCCTGTGTGGTTCAACATAGAAGTTGTTCATCAAATTGTACAAAAAGAAAACAGTACCGTAAATTGCTTACACATAGGGTTCAGTTCAAAATGGTAAATACTAAAAAGAAAAAGGAACTATAAGATCATACAAATCAACTGATAAGAATAAACATATATGTGATAAAAGAAAAAGTAATTCTGTTTAACTATAAACTACATCAAAAAAGACCAGTGGTATGAAAAACAGAAATGTCAGTTTGAATCTATTCTCACGACGGAACAAGAAACTCTCAAGACGCATTTGAGTAGAGACTTTTTCATATTCCACCCTACTGTGAACGCAAGATTTGATGCATTTGAGCATAATGTCTGAGACATGTCCCGGTTACATAATGCATATCCAACAAGCAACAGGGGAAGATACATCTCATCAAAGAACAAGAATATATCATATATTATCATATAAGACATTCGGGTTCTTTAGACTTTAATAAGTCACCACACAATTTCCAGTCAAACAATACCAAGCAAACACCCTAAATCTAAATTGCAGGTGATAGAACAACTATTCGGTGGCAGAAGGTAAAGATTTGAAATCAATGGGCTGCCCAAGAAGGATTGGACCAACATTAAAGGCGACTCGATATTGGTTGTGGACGGTGTCACGAGTTCCTGAGCTTGAACCTATGGAAATTGAGTACGGATGGATGCAACAGTGATATAACAACTGAAGCTAGACATAAAGACACCTAAACATAGTGTGTCCTATTATATAGGCTCATATCAAATTCATCAGAGCATACCCTGTTTGCAATTAGATTAGCAATTATCATCGGCTCACATACGGGTAAAAATTAATAACCTAAAAGCAAAGTATCAACATGCTATCAAGCATTTGTAGCGACATTTCCAATAAAAAGGAGAAAACATACAGCGGGAGGATACGTGAAGAGAATGGCATTCTTCTCCTTGGTGAATATGATCAGCTGCAACAGCACATTGAAGACTATATACGTGCCAAGAGTCAAAGATCAAACACATTTGAACCCAACATCAATACAACACTAAAAAGAACAAGGATCGAAAATTCGGAAACAAATCAGGCGTTTTCTCATCAACCAAACAGAAACTCAAAGCATATAAACAAATACAAACACAAGCAACAAGATAAACTAGGATATAAGACGATGCAGAGGATGAGAAAATCTCGGTTTTCGGGGAACTTCTTCTTGTAAAACTGAGCGAAGAGAGCGATTGCGATTATGATGGTGCCCAGAAACAGCCTCACATTGCTCATCCGCACGTCCTCCACATATCCGCGCCCCGTCACAATCTGTTCGAATTGCAGTGACAAATTCAACAAAAAAATAACCAAAAATTGAAAGAAAAAAAAATGGAGAGGGAAAATGGATCGAGAGGGAAGAGCGAGTAACCTACCTCGGTGACGGACTCGTCGAGGATGTGTTTGATAGAGTGGTGGTCGAGGAGATTGGCCTTCTTAGGGTTTTTGCTGGCCGAGTCTGATTTATTTTCCTGCATTTTCTTTGGGGGAGATTTTGGATTGGAGGACTGAATTTGACGGGTTTTGTCTCTGAGAGAGAAGAGAGAGGATGAGTGGGTACGGTTTCGGTGGGATCGCTGATGCTATTCTATTGTTAAGGATTAAGTTCCGTTTGTTATTGCTTTTTTTTTCATCAAAAACTGTTTTATTTTAAAGTTAAACAGTAAAAAAATATTTGATAAAAGTAAAATATGTTGCTTATTTTAAAAATAATGGACTCCAGATAGCAGTTTTTAAAAACAACTTGTAGGTTGCTTTTATAAGTTGCATTAATAAAAAGCAAAGTTGAGCCTAGAGTACATATTTCAATTGTTGTAATATCTTCATTAATATTTAAAAAATGACATTATTTGCCCTTCACACGCATTTTATCTCTTAGAGAATAAAATGATTTTTACGACCTACCACTACAAACATTAACATTACACTATTAACGCCATTACCACCGCCATTGTTGCCACTACCATAATCATAACCGCAACCGCCACCACTGCCGTCATAACCATAATTGCCACCATTGTTGCCTCCACCACCATCATAACCACCACCATTGCCACCACAACCACAATCGCCATCACCAGCATTACCAACGCTCCTAGCACCATTGTTACTTCTATACCCCAACCACCACATCCAACTATTAACACCACAACCATACCTCCACTATAACCACAACCGCCACCACTGCCGCCACAACCACAACTGCCACCACCAACATTACCAACACCCCTAGCACCATCGTTACCTTTACACCACAGTCACAACTGTCACCACCGACATTACCACCACTCCTAGCAACATTGTTACATGTACACCCCAACCATCACGTCCCAGTATTAACACCACCACCATACCTCCACCATTATTGCCATCATCACCACCATCGCAACCACCACCATTACCACTGTTGTCTTCGTCACTACTGTTGTCTCCCCACTCCTACTACTATGTCTATTTTGTCATTATATACAATTATACTACTTTTATATTAAAATTTATCAAACGCTTTTACACTGCTTTTCTTATTCACAACACTTTTAAAATACAGTTTACCAAACGCTCATATGCTTTATTTTACAGCTGATTATTCTTAAAACACATCAAAAACAGTTTTTTAAAAGAGCATAGAATATTAAACTGGCCCTAAATACCTTTAATTTAATAAAAAATGGTCTTATTTAGGTGAACAAACTCAAAGACAAATTAATTTTAAATGTCAGAGATCCAAATTAAAAGTTATGTCAATACTGATATCATTTTGGCTACAAAGTCATAAGAATAAAATAGCATCAGTCATCAGACTCTACTTTGTGTTCATTCATCAGAAAACCAAAAACAAATATTTTTTTTAAGTTTAGTAAATCGATTCAAAATTTAGTTTTAAATCAATAACAAGGTAGAAAACTGAACACGAACCTATTCTATTTTTAAAAAGAGAAATATCACTAAACCATTCCGTTTTTAGAAAAAAGAACTACCAATAGACCCAAAAGACCATAAGCTAGTAGGCAAATACCTAACTTTTGATCTTATGATTCTTATTTGTTGATTTTATTCATGTTAGGTCTCCTTTTGAATATACAATTATTCATATGGTATGTCCATATGTAAAGCGTACACTAATCAGATAATCCCAAATTGATCCCCATAAATCCCTTGTATTCAAGGTTATCGGCTTACCAACAATGGCAATACATTTCAAATAATAAAAATTTGATCCTGCAATTCCTTGATAACATCATGAGATGAAATAATTGGGAATCGGGGTCGAAGCGAGTGACAGAAAAATGAACGACGAAAGGTTCATGACTATGGAGGCTTTGACTTTACTTTGCTAGTGAGCAAGAACCGAGCACCCTTGACAAGTTCCTCCTTAATCATGAACAGAACGGCAGCTGCAAGTACACTTTGTACTATTTTCGTTCCCATCCCTTTGTAAAACCCGTATAATCCTTCATAGCGAATCATCTTTAAAATGGCATCTGATGTGCCTGAAAGTAGAACAAAAGAATATGCAACATCATGATTCACGAACACGAAACTTCTATATCTGAAAATATACTGAATCGAAGTTTTTAGTTTTGAGGTTAAGTCAATCAAATGTAAAGCAGATTTTATGCAGGGTATGAAGCTCTGGCTAACAGTTGAAAGTTCAAACCTTTATAGTGTTGCCTTTTGTCACCATTTGTAACCTGTTTTGCTTGAAGCCTCGACTGGAAAAGCAAGATACTCAATAAGAATTTTTGAACTATTTAACGTAAAAATACTAGGAAATAATGGATGAAATCACAATATAACGTTAATGCAAAGCAAGTCTTGTCTATTCCCACTTTCCCAGTCCCATCTTCTCCTCAATCTTTTTCGAATTGAAGGAGCTTAAAAGTTAAAACTTCAAGATAGGTCAGTCCGGTTCGTCAGCAGCAATCCATTCACATTATAACTCAAGTGTGAATTGCTTCACAAATTTAGATCTGTATGTGTGCATTACCTTCACAACTAGAAGAGGATATGTCACAACCGTAGCCCCTAGTTTCGCCAAAGCACCAAGAAGAAATATCTAGCAGTATTAGGCAATCTATTAGCTCATACGGCAAATCAAGCGTGAATAACATAATATTAGCATTGTAAGTATTCTGATAAAAAGGTTATCATGAAATATTTACAGAAGGTTACTGATGCTGAAAAGTTTAAGATCTAAATGAAACCTAACCTCTAAAGCAGTAATCCCGTTGTTACCCTTCTTATTCAAGGCACGTCTTTGCTTCAGCTTCTTCAGCATAGTTTCATACAGCATAAATTGCATGGAAGGATTACTCACCTGTGATCAAAAGCAGGAACAATTAATCATACTCCCTTACCCTGTATAAGAGTCACTTCTCACATACCATGATCAATGTCGGGAAAACACCTCTCCAGAAGCCGAAAACTCCACCTTCATCATAAACTTCCTGAATCTGTATATGTTTCATATAAAGTTAAGAAAAGAATATGAAAAGAAATATAGCTGGCACTGAAGCCAAACTTGTAAAACTCAGAAAACCAAATTCAGTATTGAAATCAACAGAAATACTACTATCCAGCCCACTCCTCGATACTTATTGTTGTAAATTTACGCACGGAATTACAAATTCACCATATATTTCGGTATCTATAGTGCACGCACTTCCTTCAATAGTACTACTAATAGGATAAGGACCAGTCGTGTTTACCATCAACAACCAGTTTGGTTCAAAATTCAGGAATTTCAATTAATAGTTGGTTGTAGTTATTTGAATCTTCTCTTTTGTTTCGAATCATCTCTTCGATAGTTATTTGAATGTCTCTCTTATTCATTTAAGTTATATATCACACAGTCATGATGTTTGATACAAACGTTTCAACCCATGTTATGTAGTACCATGCAAATATATAATACTTATTCATCAGCAAATGATGGCCCAGTTACAACCCCCCAACCCACCACCACCACCACCAACAAAAAAACATAATACCAACCGCATGTGCCGTGCCGAATGGAGGAGGCTCAGCTGCAGCAAGGATTTCTTCATCTGGAGCAGTTAATAGCTCCTGACCAGGCTGGGACTTGGAGGATTTTTTATGAGTCTAACAATGCAAAACAAGAACAAACGATAAATTAATAACATCAAACTTGTATACTTAGTGTGAGAGATGCACAAGCTCAGTTTGATAAATTAGCAACACAGAAGGATAAAATAATTTGGTGAAGTTGGTAACTAGCATCACAGGCATTTCAAAATTCTGAATCAGTTCTAAATCCTGAAATCAAGTGTTCTTCAACGATCACTTTTAACAAAGGCAACTACCCACATAAGACATTCAAATATAAACTATCCTGTCACTTGATGTGGAGATTCAATGAAATTTGAGACTAATGTCAATTAGCTTTTTCATTTTACCTGCATACGCGTAACAATTACCCATATAGGATTTGTGAACAGCACATTCACGCACCTACAGGAATAAAATTGAGATGACGTTTTGAGCAACAAATCATATGACTAAGAAAAAAACTATCAATAAAAAAAAAGTTCTGCCAAAACTTTTCTGTTCTCTTGATTCGCTTTTTCTTAAAAGCTTTCAGAAAGAGCGAATGCAACCATTTGAGGAAATGATACCTTTATAGCTTTGAATATATAAGAAACAGACAATGTCCCGAGGCCCATAATCATATGAATAAAGAAATACCCAGATAATGCAGCAACCAAAAGTGACGAGAGCATTCCGACAGACCCATCACCAACCCCCATCTTCCTCCGTTCAAGAGCAGCAGCTTCAGCCTTGTTCCTGAATATTTGATAGAAATAATAGTAAACACCCTGTTCCAATAAAATCGCAAGTGCATAAGAAACCATATAACCAAATAAAAAAATTATTTATGCAGTTTACAAAATACATGGTTTATAGGTAACCTACTTTGTGAGAGAAAAGAATATAAGTTGCCGTATATCATGTAACACAAACGAAGTTCTGACTCAAAAGACGCTACAGAAAGAGCATTAAAGTTTATTTAGCTAACGATGGGAAAGCAGCAGGCAGACTTGTTTCACTTTGTTATTCACAAGACTGCATAAGCATAAACAAAATGCTCAGGGTTGTCTCCTTTTATGTAATATTAGCAGTTCAAATGCTTTCATTGATGATGCAGATCAACGCAAACTGTTACCATCACTAACTCGCAGAAAGCATCCATCCGCTAATATTATACACATGATTTATCAAATGGACTCAATTTATAAATGCTAATGAAATAAATAATAACTGTGCCAATACACATAGTATGTTTTGATTAGGTGTAGTGGTGTTCAGGGAATAAAGCCAGCCATGCCTCCGTAGGTTTGGACAGTTTCACGTATACAACCTAACAATGGAGGCTAGATAATTTTGGGATAACACAATTGCAATCACTAGGACTAACCTAGAGGATAACTTATCAATGGTATCTGTTATTTTGACCTACAGGATTCTGGCCAATCGAAAACCCAAGTAACACCATTGCTCGGATAGTATAACAGATGTCCTGTAAATAAGTCCACACTGCTCTACAATCTATTTAATTCAGTTTCCGCTCCGTTAGAAACAGTTCCAAATTTCTGCTCTTTCCCATCAATTCCTTAGCTAGCAAACAATCAATGTCAACTTTGTGCAATAGTTCCTATGAGCGCATATAATTTCGCTCGCTCCATCCTAGTTTCTAATCATTGTAACAATTAGAATGAAATTACTATTCGAAGAAGTAAAACAATCCAGCAAAGGAGCTTCACCTGAGATGCTGCCGTGCCCACCAACGATGGCGTCAAACCTCCATACAACCGTTCCCATCCTTCATTTTTTATAACCTGCACATCAAATTCACACACGCGCCAAATAATAAAATACAGTGAAACAAACAGAGAAACGTGTCCTTTCTCAGATTTTCCCGTCCATTTTCTCAGCAACCAAACAAGGTAAAATACTAAAAGTTTACGAAAACTTCAAAACGAAGCTGAAAATTGGAAAAGGAAAGACCTGACATATTTGCTCCACAGTTCCGAGCTTCTTCTTCTTCTCCTTCAGATCACGGTCCGTTTGTTGACGAGTATTCACCTGCAGCAGATCAGGACCCAAAAAATTAACCAAAAATAAAGAAAAACAATTACGAAAGGCGCCAGAGTGGAGAAAATTTGTACAGTCTGAAGAGGATAGGTGATGAGCTGGGCGATGATCCCGCCGCCAGCTCCGGCGAGTCCATTGATCAAAGCGTCGGACATATTTGCTGGAGAAAAATGTTTGCGAAGGTTTCCTATTTTCTCGGGAAAATGTAGCGAGCCATCGAGGGTACGGAGATCTGAAATTTTTATGGTTGTTGGGAGAAGGGTGTCTCTGACTTTGGCCTTATCGAAGGTACTCAGAAAGCAGTCATGCTGATGGCAATCGCTATCGGGGCCCGCCTCATCGGTTAGTTGTTCCGTTCAAGAAGGCTTTTGACGTGTGGTCGGTTCTTTTGCTTTTGACCATTTTGCCCTTCAATTTTGATTTTGTTTGTGAAATATTAAATGAAACTTGAAAATATATATATATCTACAAGGAGAATATTCTTCAAGAGGAATGCTTGTGAGAGTAGTGATCTTCCTCCTTTACGTTTTATTTATTGAAAATGGTAGGAAGATCAAATTTGCTTGTTTTTGCTGGGTTTTTCTTTATAATTTTTGTTCTTGTTTGATGTCTTCTATTAGCCCATCTTCAAACGAAGAAGGGCCAGACGGCTTGTTTTAGCCCTCTGGCCCTCCAAGAAATTAATATTTTAATAAACAGTGCAAGATCGTATTTCTTATCATCTCCAACCAAGAGCCAGAGGGTCATAGGCAAAACGTAGCCATGTGACAAAAAACCATATTCAGCCGAGAACCAAAGGGATATAGTATGAAATGTGAAGAATTGAAATAAAATGAGGTAAAATAGTATGGAATGGTGAAAAATATGTGAGAAATGGTGTAGGAAAAAAAATTAGAAATTAAAAAAAAAAAGTCCAAAAAAAAAAATGGGCTAGGCAAATGGAAAATAACAAAAAAAAAAAAAAAAAAAAAAGTGGGTTGGCTGAAGATGGCCAGCCCTCTGACCTAATTGGCTTGTTTTGGCCCAGTGGGGCCCATAAACCCTTTAGCCTAACTCTTGGTTGGAGACGATTTTTAGCCCTCTGACCCTTTGAACCCTTCGGTTGGAGATGGCCTTAGGCCTTTAATTTTTATATACAGCTTGGCTGTGGCAAGGATGATGAACAACGGTATAATTAATTGCACCAGAGCTATTGAAGAAAAGAATGATGAACAAGAAAAATTCTTGTACTCGAACGAAGAAGTGGTTTTGACTATCGACATCTACCCTACTTATACTACAATATTTTGTATTGATAAACACTACCAACTTGTCTTATGGGTTGAACCCGATAAAAAATACGAGTCCAATCATAGACTGGCTAAACCTAGATGGAATCAACGATTGCATTTTCAACTCAGCACCAACCTTTTAGGATGAGGATCTCTGCACGTTGAGGTGCTAAGGTTTGGGAAAGACGAGTCCGACCCAAGGACCTTCAATGGGACATTCAGTGTGAGCTGGACTAGAATCTCGTTGCCAAAGATGAAAAAAAGAAGGCCGGTTTGGACTGGTAAAGACTAAAGAGTGAAGGGCATGTACTAAAAGCTTAAGGGCTTTATTTTTGTCGATGAAACATAGTCAACATATAAGCTTAGATGAGTGACCTAACTAGTTAGATTGTTATTGAGATTTTGGATTTTTAGATAGTTCTTCATTAAATATGAGGTACTCATACAATTTCTTTTATTCTAATTCCAAGTTTGGACTTCTTGATGATAGAAAAACTAAAATTATATGCATATATATGATGCTTAATTACTTTGATTCTTTGAACTAGAAAAGTAGGGCGTTTTAGCAAAAAATGATCATTGAAATTGGTATAACTCCTCACTTTGGTCTCTTAGATTTGAAATCAACAGAAGTGGTCCCTAAGTTTGACCACCATTAATCATTTTGATCATTTTGTTAAAAATTCTGTTAAATAAGGACCAAAATGACAAACATAATCTCACCTTAGTAACAATAGGCTATGGTGTTTTTGACAAAATTGAGGGTATTTTTGTTATTTTATCTTTATTTAAGGGGCATTTTTCACTGACTGTTCAAAATGATTAATTGTGAACAAACTCAGGAAATTTTTTTATCGATTTCAAATTTCAAAGATTAAAATGAAAAATTATGTTAATCAGACCTTTTCGCTAAAAAGCCGCAAAGTAAATATGGAATCTTCAAGATCCTATGATTGGATAAATTCTAAAGATCTGAAAACATAATAAAGCTAATAACAATGACAAAATTCACCCATATTACCACTTGAAAAGAAAACATAAAATGTAGAAATAACTAGTGGACGATAAGGACAGACAAAATAATTGCAATTAAGAAAATCCGTGATTATTCACCTATATAAATTTGGCAAATAATAATTATAGATAACCGTTTATCCAAATTATATGACTATAGTAATAGCTTAATATGTTTTTTTTTTCCAAAGAATATGAAATGTTCATGCATTGTGACTTTTAAGTAACCTACTCCTAATACCTAATTTGTTGTTACATAATTATGTACCATTTATTTAGGGAATTGTTATTAGCACTCTAAGCTTTCCATATTAAGAAATAAAAATACACTTGTGAGAAGTGTAGAATAAGATTTTTAGAGTGCTAATGTCACATCCCGGCCCGGGGCGGATCACTTCCCTGGCCCGCTCCACCACCGTAGCACGATATTGTCCGCTTTGGGCTTACCATTCCCTCACGGTTTTGTTTTTGGGAACTCACGAGCAACTTCTCAATGGGTCACCCATCATGGGATTGCTCTAGCCCTCTTCTCGCTTAACTTCGGAGTTCCTACGGAACTCGAAGCCAGTGAGCTTCTAAAAGACCTCGTGCTAAGTAAGGATGGGAATATACATATAAGGATTACTCCCCTGGGCGATATGGGATGTCACAATCCACCCCCCTTAGGGGCCCGACGTCCTCGTCGGCACACATGCGGCCAGGGTTAGGCTCTGATACCAAATTGTCACATCCCGGCCCGGGACGGATCACTTCCCGGGCCCGCTCCACCACCGTAGCACGATATTGTCCACTTTGGGCTTACCATTCCCTCACGGTTTTGTTTTTGGGAACTCACGAGCAACTTCCCAGTGGGTCACCCATCATGGGATTGCTCTAGCCCCCTTCTCGCTTAACTTCGGAGTTCCTACGGAACCTGAAGCCAGTGAGCTCCCAAAAGGTCTCGTGCTAGGTAAGGATGGAAATACACATATAAGGATCACTCCCCTGGGCGATGTGGGATGTCACAGCCAATAACAATTTCTTTTATATATATATATATATAAAGTAAGGAGGAACAAAAAATAAAACTTTTATAATTTCAAAATTGCCCTTCTTGCATTAAAATTTTAAAAGAATAACAAGTTCAGAAAATTAAAAAAATACCCATGTAGTGGAAGTGTGGATAGCAGAATGGGTGATCAACTGGGAAGTTCTCGTGTGAGTTCCCAGAAACAAAATCATGAGAGTGTGGTAGGGGCCCAAAGCGGACAATATCGTGCTACGGTGAAGTTGAGCCTGGGATGTGGTGGGGGCCCGGGCCGGGATGTGACAGGTAAGTTTAACCTCACAATAGGCTAGCAATAATATGGTTCAAATTCACCTTTGGCGAGAATCGAACCTAAGACTTCTCACTTACAAGTGAAGAGAAATACCATTAGATTGTAGTACTAAGTGGCAGAAATGTGGGTAGTTAGTATATAAAAAAAGAAAGCAAAAAATGTGAAGCATTCATAATCACAAAATTGCCATGCTTCCATTATCATTTAAAAAAAAAATAATAATAACGCACAAGACTGCGTGGTTAGTAAGGTTGTTATTTTTTAAAACATATTTTCATAAAAAATAATAATAACTAAAACAAGTAAAATTATAAAAATAAAAACAATAAATACTATATTATCAGACAAAAAATAAATAATAAAATAAAAAAAGCCAATTGTCACACGCATAGCATGTAGGTACGCGTGTTGTGTAGGAAGAGACTAGTTATCCTCCATATAATACGTATTTGCTCAATCATATCATTAAATATCGTACTTGTTTTAAAAAAAATTGTATGAAAATGTTTAGGTAAATTAATATTTGGCTAGCATATAAATCTTACATTAATAAATTCTCCAAACAGATTTCACATAAAATATTCATGCATCTATCAACAAACTAAATAATGCATGCATTTTAATTAAATAGTGTATCCAGCCATGTTCACCCAATTTCTTGTTAATTACCCAGTAAGTACCATTTATATTGAATATTATATATGGAAATTGTTAGGTAAAATATTTCGTCCACATAATAGGAACATAAAATACACACACCACACACCACACACACACACACATATATATATATATGGAAATTGTTAGGTAAAACATGTTGTCCACATCATTTTCCTAGTTAGTCAGTATGACATGGTTGACCAATCACCGTGCATTTCAGACATGAATTGACCAATCCAAGATTGCCATGTTGGCAACGCTTTAAGGCGTGGCCAACCTGCCTGACCTAGACACCTCTATAAATTGGCTATGACTGTAATCCTTTCTTAAACACACTTATTAGGTTGAGATTATATCTTGTTTGGCCTTGTTCTGGAGAGAAATGAAAGAAAACGAATGCATCTTTCTCCTCTCGAACAAGAAGAAACTCAAGCATAAACATGTTGTGGTTCAAATGATGAATCGGGGACACCACTTCGGATCCATGATTTACCAGACAATTTATAAGAATGAGTGAGTAAGACATGATTTCTTATTTCTGCTTTTATTTTTCGTTTTCTTTCGACCTTAGCTGCGTTGCGTAATTATATCTTATTTCCTATGTGCATCAACTTTATCCCCTTTGACTCATACACGAACACATTTTTTCATACAGTTTGGCTACGGCAAGGATGATGAGGGCACATGATAATGTGAACAACGGAACAACTAACTGGTACCGACAATGGACCAGAGCCCTAAAGAGGAAATCTGCAGAAGAAGAAGAGGAGTGCTAATCATACTGACAAGTCGTTATGAGTGTCCTATGGGTTGAACCTGGTAAAGGTACGAGTCGAAGTTGGTCTACGGCTTGCCAAACCCTAGATGGAATGGACAAGTATATATCTGGCTCAGCGCTAGCCTTTTGGGATGGTGATCTCTGCACATGGATGTCCTAAGGTTCGAGAAAGACGAGTCTGAGTCAGGACCTCCAGTGGGATATCTAGCGTCACCAGGACTAGAACCCCGTT